GCTGGGATTACAGGCATGCACCACCACACCCGGCTAATTTTGCATTTTTAGTAGAGACGGGGTGTCTCCATGTTGGTCAGGCTGGTCACGAATTCCCAACCTCAGTTGATCCGGCTGCCTCGGCCTCCCAGAGTGCTGGAATTACAGGCGTGAGCCACCGTGCTCGTCCAAAATTTGACTTCTTAAAAGGAGTTAAGAAAGCCATAACATCCTTTTGAGCTGATTACTTAGTGACTCAACCAAGAAAATTCTTTTGTGTTAAAAATAATAAAAGGTTGGTGTGTTTTGCCTCAATTTAATGAGTTACCATTTCATTCACCCAGCAGGTGTTTACTGAGTACCTACTGCATGCCAGGAACTGTTTTATTTGTCTGACAAATATTTACCACGTGCCTACTCTGTTCCAGGAACTGTTTTAGGTGCTGGGGATATAGGAGTTATCAAAATAAACAAAAGTGGCCTTTCCTCAAGGAGTTTATAGTTCAGCTAATTTAACTCCTCATAGAAAACAACCCTTTCTTACCATGTCTGTTTTCTTTGTCCCAAATAGTTCTACTAATGGACTATATTATTTCGGTTGAGAACTTGTTGAACAGAATTTTCTTTTTTTTAACCTTCAGTAGGGAAAAATGTTTGCTTAAAGAATGAGTAATGGCCGGGCATGGTGGCTCATGCCTGTAATCCCAGCAATTTGTGAGGCCGAGGTGGGAGAATTGCCTGAGCCTAGAAGTTTGAGACCCTCCTGAGCAACAAATCTAGACCCCATCTCTACAAAAAAATTAAAAAATTAGCCGAGTGTGGTGGCATGCACTTGTAGTCCCATCTGCTTGGGAGGCTGAGGTGGGAGGATTGCTTAAGCCCAGGAGGTCAAGGCTGCAGTAAGCTGTTATTGTGATTGTGCCAGTGCACTCCAGCCTGGGTGACAGAGTGACACCCTGTCTCAAAAAAAAAAAATGGGTAAATGGTGACTAATGAGTCACGTTAATATCTGGGAATCGTTTTTATTCCCTGTGGCTTACACAGGAATATGACTCTGTTACCATGATTATGTAAATTAGCTGTGTAAGGTGGCAGTGAAATTCATTGCCTTATTTGTCAATGTGGCAATATCTGAAGTGTTTTCTATTAATGGTTTCAGAATATAATTTTATTAAAAATTTCTACTAAGGAGGACAGTCATAGTGATTTATCCTTTGCCCTTTGTTAAATTTTCTCTCCAGTAAAATTGGTTCTCCACCCAAGACTCCTGTAAGTAATGTAGCAGCTACCTCAGCTGGGCCCTCTAATGTTGGAACAGAGCTGAATTCTGTGCCTCAAAAATCCAGCCCATTTCTAACTAGAGTACCAGTATATCCTCCGCATTCTGAAAACATTCAGTATTTTCAAGATCCAAGGACTCAGATACCCTTTGAAGTCCCACAGTACCCACAGACAGGTGAGTAATTTTAGAGGATTCTAAGAAAAAAAGAAACATTGTTTCCCTTAGATAAATGAGTGAATAGTTCTAGTATGTCTACATGTAAAAAATTAATCCTTTTGACCATATGACTCGTAAGTTATTTTCCTTCTCCAAGGATCTGTGCTGCTAAATACTAACAGCTTTAAGGTTGTTATTCCTGCAAATCAAATATAGGGTCAGGAATGAACTTTAGGGGGTTTTCTGTAAGTCCCCTGAAATGATGTAAAAAAATATTTTATTTATGTATGCTTATGTACAATTTTGGAAAGAGAGTGAACAACTCACATAGATTTTGAGAGAGGTCTTCAACGTCTGCTCCCAAAAAGGTTAATAAAAATCAATGATGTAACTATTTAATCCAAAACCAGTGGCAATAGATGCCCTGGAAGGATATTTACCAGCCGTCTGTTAATAGCTCTGTCATGTGTTTTAAGGAGCACTTTAGCAAAGTATTGAACGTTAATGATTTTCGTATAGTGGTATCTTGAAAATATGTAGCTTCTGGTCAGGTGTGGTAGCTCACACCTGTAATCTCAGCACTTTGGGAGACCCAGGAGAATCGCTTGAGCCCAGGAGTTTGAGACCAGCCTGGGCTTGCATCATAGCAAGACCCTGTCTCTACTAAAAAATAAAAGAAAAAGCCAGGTATAAAGCTTTATAAAGCAGGGTAAGGTAAGGTTCAAAGCATATTGTATTTTCCTGCATTAAGGGCTGCCTTAGATTTAAGCCATTATAAAATGTTGGATTGTACTAAGATTACATTAAATATTCCTCTTTCCAATTTTCAAGGATACTATCCACCACCTCCAACGGTACCAGCTGGTGTGGCTCCCTGTGTTCCTCGCTTTGTGAGGTCCAATAATGTTCCAGAGTCCTCCCTCCCACCTGCTTCCATGCCATATGCCGATCATTACAGTACATTTTCCCCTCGAGATCGAATGAATTCTTCTCCTTACCAACCTCCTCCTCCGCAGCCGTATGGACCAGTTCCTCCAGTACCTTCTGGAATGTATGCTCCTGTGTATGACAGCAGGCGCATCTGGCGCCCACCTATGTACCAACGAGATGACATTATTAGAAGCAATTCTTTACCTCCAATGGATGTGATGCACTCATCTGTCTATCAGACATCTTTGCGGGAAAGATATAACTCATTAGATGGATATTATTCGGTGGCTTGTCAGCCACCAAGTGAGCCAAGGACAACTGTGCCTTTACCAAGGGTAAGTGAAGATGCTACTATAATGTAGTCATTAAGAGCCCAGTGTCTGGAGTCAAACCACCCAGGTATATATCCTGGCTCCTCCACTTACTAATTGTGTGACTTAAGGAAGTTACTTGACCTCCCTATGCCTCAGTTCTTTCATTCGTTTGATGGAAATAATAGTAGTACCTACCTCATAAGGCTGTTGTGAGAATTAAATCAGAAAATCAAACCTCTTAGAACTGGGCCTCATACATGTTAATGCTCAATAAATGTTATGTTCGGATAGGTAATTGTTGGGAAAGTAGAAAAATCTTAAAAATACAAGGTTAGGGCCTTTTTTCAGTATCACCACATACATACAAATGACTTTCCTAAACAAGAAAAGTGAATGCGCAGATTCTGCTTTTAACATCAGTTGAATAAATATTAACCTTTTTTTTTTAAGTGTATGGAGAATAGACTAGGGTGACTTTCCCTGCTGTAGTTTTTAATCCCAACAATATCATAAACTGTTTACATCATTTTCACATAGTTAAATTTATTCACCACTCCCTAGATGATTAAGATTGTTTCTTTTATCCCCCATTAGGAACCTTGTGGTCATTTGAAGACCAGTTGCGAGGAGCAGATAAGAAGAAAGCCAGATCAGTGGGCACAGTACCACACTCAGAAAGCACCTCTTGTCTCTTCAACTCTTCCTGTGGCAACACAGTCACCAACACCACCTTCTCCTCTATTCAGTGTAGACTTCCGTGCGGATGTAAGAAAGGTTTTAATTACTTAATGTTGCAGGGATAGGTCAAACAGCTGACTTCAAATTACGCATTCAAACCAGGAATAGCTATGTTGGATATTTTGCAGTGGTTTGGTGTGCAGTTGAGTTTAGTTCAGTAAACACTGAATATATATGCACAACGGCTAGGTGTTATGAGACTCTGAAGACTGTTAAGGCATAGTCCTTTACCAGGAATTCAAAATCTTTCCGGTAGTATAATTATTTTATGGTTTTTTATTAATAGTGTGATTTATATCTATCATTTATTGAGCACCTACTCATGCCAACACTGTACTAAGCATTTGCATAAAGCTATTTTATTTAATTCTCACAAAAACCTTAGGGGGCAGGTATTTTCTATATTTTACAGGGTAGGAATCTTACTTACAGAAGTGATTTGCCCAAGATCTTTCAGCTGTAAATAGCTGGGGTTTGAATCCTGTGCTGTCTGAGGTATTTCTTCACTACTTCATAAGAGATGCAGAAATACCTACAGTATTATTTATGCTCTTTACATCACTGTTAATTATTGTTCTTGGCATTACAAAATAAGTTTTTGTACCAGGATGATTTTAATTTAATCTGGTGTTTTCGGTACTGTTATATTTAGAGTAAACCATTAATTTCTTTTTTAAGTTTTTTCTGGTTTATTCCCCACCCCCAAAAGTTCTGATATTAAAATTTTTTAAATATTTTCATTATAAAAAATTTCAAACATATACAGGTATAGAGAGAATAATATGATAAACTCCATGTACCCAACACCCAGGTTCCATAGTTATCAACTCAGTCAGTACTGTCTTATTTGTACCCCCTCTTCCCGTTGAATTGTTTTGAGGTAATCCTAGGCATTATATTTTTTAACCCATAAATATTTCAATAAAGCACTGAAATTTTAAACTAGATCCAAATTGGTCTTGTCAAACTTAGACTTCTTCAAAGCAGGTAAATATGTTGACAACAGAGTGACAGAGCTGCCACTTGCTTGCTAGATGCCACTTCTGTTTTCTTTTTTGGTATACAATGTATGCTTCAGGAAGTGAGTATTTCCCTGAGACTCAGATCTGCTGAGTTTGACTTGAGAAAAGTTATTTAACTTTTTTGGCCTTGAGTTTTTAAATCTGAATAATTAGTAAACTAGATTTAATGATTCGTATAACTTTAGTATTCTGGTCCTATAAGTATTCCTTATTCACAGTCCCTTTAAAATTTATTTATTTCCCCTTTAGCTCCAGAGCCTTCTTTGAATTCCTTTTGTTATTTGATACTGCATAATTTATCAGTTATATTCCCTTATTTGCACATGTCATTCTTTTTCTCAAGAAAATTATAAACACAGCTTGGTGTAGTGGCTCATGCCTATAATCCCAGCACTTTGGAAGATCGAGGTGGGTGGATTGCTTGAGCCCAGGAGTTTGATACCAGCCTAGGCAATATGGCAAAACTTCACCTCTACTAAAAATACAAAAAATTGTCTGGGCATAGTGGCGCATGCCTATAGTCCCAGCTACTTGGGAAGCTGAGCTGGGAAAATCACCTGAGCCTGGGAAGTCGAGGCTGCAGTGAGCTGGGATCACCCCACTGCACGTTAGCCTGGGCGGTAGGAATGAGACCCTGTCTCAAAAGAAAAAAGAAAATTGTAAACTTCTTTAGGATATGGACTGTGACCTCTGTGTGTATCTATGTATTTGTTTTCTCTTACTTTTTTTTTTCTTGGAGCACCCCATACCATTTAGTAGCACACTATAAATGTTAGTTAATTGGTTTTGATAGTATTAGTCAAATGTTCCATATGAGCACTTAAAGGACAAAGTGAAAAGGTAAAGCATGCCATTTTCTATTGTAAAAATACCATTTGTTGCTTATTACAGTTTTTTATATTAGTTATTGAAAGAATGTAATTGTTTGCTATGAAGTCCTCTGAATTCTATAATAGTTCCTTTATAGTAGTTACAAGCTTGTAAATTTAAGCTTCTTACTAATTGGCTTTATTTATTTATTTTTTTTTAACCAGTTCTCAGAGAGTGTGAGTGGTACAAAATTTGAAGAAGATCATCTTTCCCATTATTCTCCCTGGTCTTGTGGCACCATAGGCTCCTGTATAAATGCCATTGATTCAGAGCCCAAAGATGTAATTGCTAATTCAAATGCTGTGTTAATGGTATGATTTTGCTGGGGTTGCAGGGGTTGGAGGTGAGAGATGATGCATGTTCACTCACGTTGTAGAATGAATGTTTTCTATTCATTCGTTCATATTGTTGCCTTATAACTCATTAGTAGCAGCAGGGTTATATTTAGGTAAGTCTGAAATAAATTATATTTAATGTTTAGATTATTTGAACATTGGTGGTTTAATGGTAGTTTGTTGGATTATCATTGAGTCTAGAGCTAGTTTTAAATTAACCAAAAAACCTAGTTACATGTCTTTTGATAGCGTATATTTACTAGCTGAAGTAATAGCCAACAGTCCTTTTGTTGATTTTCTTTGGTTTACACAGGACCTGGACAGTGGCGATGTTAAAAGAAGAGTACATTTATTTGAAACTCAGAGAAGGACAAAAGAAGAAGATCCAATAATTCCCTTTAGTGATGGACCCATCATCTCAAAATGGGGTGCAATTTCCAGATCTTCCCGTACAGGTTACCATACCACAGATCCTGTCCAGGCCACTGCTTCCCAAGGAAGTGCGACTAAGCCCATCAGTGTATCAGGTAATCTATTTAGATAATACCTAGCCTGATATGTTCTAAGCACTATGCTTTTTCTTTTTTTTTTTTTTTTTTGAGACGGAGTCTCGCGCTGTGTCACCCAGGCTGGAGTGCAGTGGCGCGATCTCGGCTCACTGCAAGCTCCGCCTC